GTGGTGAACATGATGTAATCTATGCAGAAATAGAAGTATAATGATGTACACCTGAAATTTTTACAATGTTATAAACCAATGTTACTGCAATAAACAAAAAGTTAAAAAAAAAAAAACACTTGGAAGTCTGCCCCTTTCAATCTGGGTGACTATGGTCAAGTCACTTGTCTCCGAGTCTATCTTCTCATCTATGAAAAGGGCACAATAACTACCCCCCCACACCCTCCTCACAGCTTTATGCGGATGTGACAATCACTCAATGCATGTGAAAATTACCTTGCAGACCAGAAATCACCATGACCATGAAAGTCTGCCAAATGGTGCCCTCTGCATGCTCTGCAAAGAGAGTCTGTCCCTGCCTCATTGGGTCAACTGACCTATGATCCTGCCCCAAGCTCCTGCATGGAACTGCTCAGACAAAGCACCTTCTGCAAGAGGGCTGTGAGGAAGTAACAGGTAGTGTCAAAGGCTCCAGGTCCCCTGATTAGGTGGAATTTAAAATGCATTTTCCTGCTGAAAATTGCCAAGAGAAGCTGGGCTAAGTTAAAAAAAAAAAAAAAAAACTAACATTACTTTTGCAGTAAAAAATAGTGCAGGGTTTTGTGAGTGAAATGGAGAACCCAACCATCACGCATTGCAGCTCTCTGATGGAAATTGTGCTTCAAGTTCCAGACTGAGTCAGGGATGAATGTCTTGCGGCTGCATACAGTCTATGGTCTCTTGCCCTACAGAGCAGGAGTCAGCAAAGTTTCTGTTAAGGGCCAGATAATAAATATTCTAGGCTCTGCAGGCTGAGAGGCTATATGCTTTACTATTGCAGCATGAAGGCAGCCATAGACAACCAGTGAGTATGGCTGTATTAGCAAACCATACAAAATAGGCAGTGCACTGGATTTTGCCTGCAGGCTAAGGTTGCCTTGCTCTGGAATAAAGATCTTAAAGGTGGTTGCACTGCTGTCCCATAGCCAGCTTCTATCAGCTTACAAGAGCCAACTGTTAGCATCTCCTCCCAACTCAAACTGTTTAGTGACTTCATGTTGGCAGTGTGAAGTTGGCCATGTTGGGAGTCACTACACCACGGAAACCGGCAAGAACTCCATATCAGAGCTCCCTCCCACTCCCACTCATCCCCAGAGAACTGGTTGTTAAACATTTGCCAGCGCATCACTAGGTAAGTGTCTGCTGGGATGGGGGTGGAGGTTGGGGGAGCCAGACAGTACACTGGAATATGAGAAGGAACTGCTAAATGTCAGTTCCTATTTATTTAGTCCTTGTCAATTCTAATTTTGTGTAAGTTTCATAATGTACTAATGCCCTCACTTCAAGATGTGTCCTCAATATTGTTTAATTGATTGGTGTAATTGGGATCAAAAATGCTTGGGGTGCACCACTCCTAAGGCTGTCTGTTATGCTCTGTGCTGGGTAACGCATTCCCCAGCAGAGTGCAGGAAGGACAAACGTCTTCTCTTTCTATTCCCAAGACAGCCTTCCTCTTGCCCCCACCTGCCTCACTCTCCCCAGGACCTTGGATGGGGGCAGGAAGAGTGGCCAGCTCTGAAAGGAACCTCTGGTTAGGGTAATTGTGCAGGCATTCCTGCCGCAGATTAAATGCCCTAAGATTACCCTTTTACAGGCACAGAGAATTCCTTGAGGTGAACAGCTGGAATGTTGAGTATTATGGGTTGAATTGTGTCCCCCAAAAAAGATACGTTGAAGTCCTAACCCCTGGTACCTGTGAATGTGACCTTATTTGGAAATAGAGTCTTTGCAGATGTCATCAAGTTAAGACAAGGACATTAGGATGGGCCCTAATCCAATATGACTGGTGTCCTTGTAAGAAGACAGAAATCTGGACACTGACATACACAGAGGAGAATGCCATGTGAAGACACAGAGACCAGGGAGAAGAAGGCCATGTGACAGTGGAGGCAGAGATTGGAGTGATGCATCTACAAACCAAGGAATGCCAAGGATGCCAAAGATGCCAAGGATGCCAACAAACACCAGAAGCCAGAAGAGGCATAGAACAGGTTCTCCCTCAGAGCCCTCAGAAGGCATCAACCCTGCCACCACCTTGATTTCACACTTCTAGCCTCCATAACTGTGGGAAAATAAATTTCTGTTCTTTTAAACCACCCAGTTTGTATTACTTTGTTACGGCAGCACTAGAAAACTAATACATTGCAATTCTCAGGTGTAATACATAAGGGCAAAAACTTTTTTACTGAACACCCAGACCCATGATTACAATGACAGTTAGGAAAATGAAATTCAAAACACTTGAGTTTGTTTTATACAAGTTTTCCAAAATGCATCTACTTTGCAGGGGGAGTCATATTAGCTGTAGTTATAAGAAGACCATGATTTAAACAGCAATGCTTCCTTCCTTCCCTCGCTCCCTCCCTTCCTTCCTCCCTCCAGTCTTTCTTCCTTCCTTCATTCGTAAAAAATTTATTGAGTGCCTACAAGTGCCAGGCACTACTATGGTAGGTTCTTGGGATACATCAGAGAGCAAAGCATTCCTGGAACTTACGTTCTAGCAGAAGACACAAACAATAAACATAATAAATAAGTAAATTATATAGTATGTTAGAAAGACAACAAATAGGGTCGGGTGAAGGAGAGTTGGTAGCGCTAGGATTGGGAAGCAGCTCACAGCATTAAATGGGGTGGAACACCTATGCGATCACCATAACCATGCCCTGAGCTTTCGAACGATAAAGTCAATGGCGCACAGGGGCCTCATGCTTCAGTAAGGTGCTGGTGCATGTGTGATCTCAGTGGAGCCTTGCAGAAGCCCATGTGGCCAGCGCCACAGTGACTTGCTACATGTCACCAGGTTGGAAGGAAGCGGAGCAGGGTGGAGCCCGGGCTGTGCCTATCTCCATTTGGCCCGAATGGTCACCTCCTCAAGGCCATGGTCAGCGAGCCTCATCTCTTTTCTGCTGGTCCATAAGAGAGCCAGAGTCCTCACTGCCGTGGGACAGCCCTAGCTCGGAGGCTAATTTGAATACTTGTGTCTTGGTTGTGAAAAGGTTCCGTGTTTTGAAGAAGACACGCCCCCACCCCCAAGCGTCATTGTCACCTGAACACATTTTCAAAAGCTAAAAATACGAGATACTTTTTTACCGCTGGCCTGGTGTTGGTCAACATCATCATCAGATCAGAAACAGAAGCAGCTGACCTTGGGCTTCGTCTCCCTTGACCCTCAGAGACTGGGGTACTATCACACTCCTAGTTACAACTGAGAGGTCTCGGGGAGGCATCAGTTTGTCTTCCTGCCCGGCATCCACACACCTTCTCCTGAGCTCAGCTCTCCAATTCAACTTGGAGGACACCTCACCGGCCTCGCCTGAAACACGAAGGAGTATCTTGGAGAAAGTGTTGATCAAGGTGCGCCGCCTTTAACTGACCAAGGAGCAGACACATGACCCAAACTAGAGCAATCACATGCTCTCCTTGGAATCTGAATCTTTTGCTAAGTGACAAAAAACATGATTGGTCCTTACCCATCTGAGTGTTGGGGCCAAAGCTTCCCTAGCTCCTGTTATTTCTGACCTGTGGGAAATTTCTGACTCTGGGTCTTCAGCATGTCCTTCATGTACTAGGCAGAACAATGGCCCCCAAAGATGTCCACGTCCTAATCCCTGGAACCTGTAAATGTGTTACCTTACATCTCAAAAGGGACTTTGCAGATGTGGTTAAATTAAGGATCTTCAGCTGGGGATTAGCCTGGATTATCCAAGTGGGCCCAATGTAATCACAAGGGTCCTTATAAGTGAAAAAGGAAAGCAGGAGAGTCAAAGTGATGCAGCATAGAAAGACTTAACCAGCCATGGCTGGCTTTGAAGATGGAGCAGGAAATTGATTCTCCCCTAGAGCATCCAGAAGGAACGCAGCCCTGCCAACACCTTGATTTTAGCCCAGTGAGTTCCATTTTGGACTGACCTCCAGAGCGCTAAGATAATAAATTGCATTGTTTTAAACCACTGAGTTTATGGTAATTTGTCACAGCAGCAATAAGAAAAAATATGCCCAATATCCTTCTAGTAAGATCCTGTTTGTTTTAGTACACTTTTTGCTTAAGTAAGCCTGAATCAACTATTGTTGCTTGTAAGTGAAGAACCATAACTGGTACACAACTAATTCCCAAGCCTCCTCTTCTCCTCACCCCACGCCCTGCTTCCAGGTGCTGGGTTTCTGTTCAGCCAACCCACTCATTACCCTTCACTAGGATCTGAGCCCAGCTTAGTGATGGACCTTGCCCTTGTTGACAGGCCTTCCAGATGACAACTGGCTGTTCAACAGATCTCTGGTCTCCTGACTGTCAGTTGACTCAGATTCCTTGTCTCTGTGCCTCTCCCACGTTTTGAGTCACCCTGCTCCTTGTCTGAGAACCACCCCGCTCCTTGTCTGAGACCCACCCCGCTCCTTGTCTGAGACCCACCCGACCCTTTTCCATTTACCACTTGGCTAGATGGTGACTTGCTGTTGCTTTTCTTCCTGTCACACTGGACCCTAGACACAGACTAAACATCTTCCATGCACTTCTGCCCCAGGGTCAACCCCTCAGCTCATGTCAAACACCAGTAAGAATGGCTAATTCTCGGGGCTGGCCCCGCGGCATAGTGGTTAAGTTTGAAACGCTCCACTTTGGCATCCTGGGTTAGCAGGTTTGGATCCCTGGTGCAGACCTATACCACTCGTCAGCCATACTAAGGCAGTGATCCACATACAAAAATGGAGGAAGATTGGCACAAATGTTAGCTCAGGGCTAATCTTCCTCAAGAAAAAAAAAAAACAGGAAGATTGGCAACAGATGTTGGCTCAGGGCAAATCTTCCTCAGCAAAATAAAAAGAATGGCTAATACTAGATCATAGCATCAGCCCAGCTCCTCCTTCCTGTGGCAAGTTCATGCTCTGCTTGGCCAAATCATGCAATATGCCACAGCCTACAGATGACTGATGGTTCAGGGTAAGCAGCATACAGGCAGAAGCTGGGTTCATTCCAACCAGAACTTTATTTCATCTAAGAACTCTATAATTAAGCGATCCTTTTTTCTATGGCCTAAAGACATGAATTCTCAAAGTACTAATAAGAAATGAAAGAGGTTAGCAGTAGGTTCCACGTTCTTCTGTGCTTGGCGGGAGAGAGGGAAGCACAGAAGGCATTCAATGGGGCAGTTTCCTACTCAGTGACCTCACTGGGGCTCACTTCAGCTTTGGGAACTCGCCAGAATGAAAACTCAGTGTGTTTCCTTTTCCCAAGAATATCTGTCACTCCAACAGGTTCACCAGAATTGCAGGAGGTGCAGATGAACCATCTAGCGTGGGCAGCCAACTCCAATGTGTTCTGGGAGCCCACCTTAGCCCTATAAAAGATGAAGGCCAACGTGCTAGTTCTTTCTAGGCAGTCAGGTTGGTAAATTTCTTTTCCTATGAGGTAAAAGAGATTAATTAGACAGCACAGTCTTTGAGAGGGAGAAAATCCAGCATGTGTGCTCTTGGAGCACAGAACCAAGTAGGAGGGCAGGAACCTCTTCTGCCCAGTGCTTCCAGAAATGTGGATGCTTCTGTTATATTGGCCACAATAAGACTTTGTGGAGAGTGAGAGGTGTTGAGGATCTTGGCCTTCCACTTTGGGGTGGCTGAGGGTAAAGGAAATTGAACTGGAATGCTCACATTCAGCTGACGGGATGGCTTGCTTTGTCCTTTGTCCTTGTCACAGCAGAGACAAAGCTCTCCTTTAGAGACTGCCAGGAGAATCGGACTTCCTTTCTGCTCACAGGCTGAGCTCAAGTGGGAGGCTAGTACAAAAAAAGTCTCTGGAAAAAGACAGAAAAATTGTTGGTCCTCAGAGCAGAAAAAATGCCCTCCTGTCTTGCAGGGTTTCAGGCATGATGTGCAATCCTCCCCCCTTGGCTCTGGGCCAAAGCCCCCTCCTTCACTGGTCCAAGCCTCCTCTTCCTTCACAGTCTGGCTCCTTCTTTCTGCCAGCCCTTCTAGAAAGAATTCCCTCAGATCTGGTCATTGTTACACACGCTCCATCCAATTCCTAGCCATCTCTGGAGCTCCTCGACCCTGCTGCCCACCACCTGCTGGAGCTGGAGGTATGGCACAGCCTGAGCTGAGCTCCTCAGAGGACGGCTTTACCCAGCTGGGGGAAGAGAGAAACCACAACCAAGACTGAGAGTCACCTAGGAGTGTGTAGGTTTTATCCGGAACTGCTCTGAGGGTCCCAGAATCCAGGACCAATACTTTGTGATCCTGATCATGAATGCTGCATTCCTCCAGGGCATGGTCTAAGGCCGTGGTTCTCAGCCTTGGCTGTACACTGGAAATCACCTGGTGGGAGAAGTTTTAAGGCCATGGATGCCTGGGCCCCACACCCCTGAGATTCTGATTTAGTAGGTCCAGGATGAAACCCAGACATGCTATATAAGTTGCATTTCTAGCGCTAGCATTGTGCTTTTTTACCTCTTAAATAATTCCTAAATCTGTCCTCCTTTTACTTCTGTTTCCCTCCTATCACGCCCTGACTTGGGCCCCCATCATCTCACACTTAGGCTTGTGTAGCATCCTCTTAATTGCTATTCTCTCACATTATTCCTGACACCCCAAATCCCTTCTTCAAACTTCCTTCTCAAGGCCACGGTAGAGGTGCAAGTAGTTTTAAGGCACTGGCAATTTTTTCTGTAGGGCAGTGATTCTCTCTTTCCTGTGCATGGCAATAACCCATATGGCTTCTTAAAACACAAACTCTTGAGCCTCAAATCCCAGAGTTTCTGATGCAGGAGGTCTGTGGTAGAGCCAGAGAATTTGCATTCCCAACAAACTTCCAGGAGTTGTTGCTGCTTCTAGTCCGAGGACCACACCTTGAGAACCTCTGCTCCCAGATTTGAGGGGGACCACAGCCCCGACAAGAAGAAATGCGAATAGGCCCAACAGACAGGCTTGTGTGGTTGCTTCCACCCCGATGGGGCACAGTGCAGATCAGGAGCCAGAAACCTCCTACCTACAAGACCAAAACCAACGAGAACAACAGCAACAGTGGCAGCAGTGAAGCAACCTCCCCTCACAGAGACGTAGGAGTAGGCCGGGCATCCATGTGCACCTCATCTTATTTGGCGCTCACTGCCATTTACCTGGGAGGAAAGTAAGGCCTAGTGTTCACACACTGGCCTGCAGTAGAGCTGGGACTCGGGCTGAGGTCTCCTGACTCTGCTCTGTGCAGAGAGTGGTGACAGGGGAGCCTTAGACCTGACTTAGGCTGACAGATGTTATAGTACCTTTAAATTCCAGCGTCTGTTGCTTACTAGGTCAGGTAGCCGCTCTCTCTTCCTCAGTTTCTGCTCCTGAAAAGTGATGTTAACAATTTCCTCCTGGGGTTATTGTGAGGTTCACATGGTAGCCTGTGAGGAGGGTTCTAGCTCAGTGTGTGGCCACCATGGCACTCGGTGGTGTAGGGTTCCTGCACGCCCCCTGCTGGCCAAGTTTCTGCTTTTCATAAGCTCTGTGAGGAGGTCAGGGTTGCCAGCCTCTTGGCAACAGTCAGAAGAAGCATTTGGAATGTTCCCAGGCTCGAAAGCTTTCTTCTCGAGTGCCGCTCAGTGGATATGGGTTACCTGCACCTTTCTGGAAAGGCAGAGGCCCGCCTTGAGCTTATCTGTCTTATTGACCCTCCTGAGATTTGCTTCTGCAAAGGAAAAGCCTCAGCCCCATCCCAGCACCCTTAGGTGTCCCCAGTCTCTGATTCTCCCTCTCCTCTAGAAAAGCCCCAAGGCACCATACCCCATCCCCGTCCTCACCCCTCAGCCACCCTCATCAGTCCACCCAGGGGCCTTACATGAGTGTGCAGAACTCATGGAGGTGAGGCTCGGGCCTGGCTCCAGGGGGCTTCTGGCTGGGTCTGGAATAAGAGACAGTGAGATTAGCACATGCAATTGGAATTTTCCAGGGATTTAGAAGCACGAGGGGCCATTTAATGCCTCACTTCTTTTTTCCGTGTTTTGAGAAACACTAAAGCAGAGAGACAGTAACGACATTAAAAATAGCTTCCCTGGTCAAAAATGGTGGGAAATGGAGCTAAAATAGAGCTAACCGGGTTTCTGAATGCAGAACTTCCTAGAGCCCTTATTAGAAACATATGTGTTGCATTAATTCAGGGGGGATAGTATACATTGCCCACATCACTTCGAGAATAATCTGGAGGATTCTGCCTAATAAAACATTAAGTTTGAGAAACGCCTGAATGAAATCCCTGGTCATAATCCAAACAACTTTTGCACATTGAGAGCACACAGCAACTATGGAAGAACTTGTGCTCCGGTATGAAGGTTCTACCCAGTCTTAGCTTTGCTTGGCTGTCTGAGACAATTCCACCTCTCGCCACTCTGAGCCTCACTTTCCCCATCTGTCCCTCCAGCTCTGACGGTCTATGATTCAAAGAAGCAGCCTGGTGGGGAAGGGGAGAGGGAAGGTGGAGCTGCCCCAGGCCCGGCTCAGACAGAAGACTCTCAAGGATTGTGTTGGAAGCAGGAGGAAACCCCTTCCCCTCCCATGCACCAACAAACAGAGGCAGAATCAGGATATAGTCTCAATGTCACCATGTGAAGTTCCCTGGCCTTGGGAAATTACAGAATCTTGTGTCTGTGTGTTCCCAGTGTCCACTCCCCACAGCCTCAGGGACAGAATGAGCATGGTGGCCACCACGTTGCCCCTGTTCCAGGAGGGCTGGTTCCAAACCACTCTATTGTTACTGTTAGAAGATCCACATTTGTCAGAGCGATGTCCTGATTTTTAGTTTTGGAACTCTGATTGCCATGTGTGAGTTGAAAGCTTACGGGTTTGGCCTCTGGCATGTTACAGGCCACTCCCTTCACACTCCATCCCTTAGACAGTCATTTCGGTCAAAAACCTCCTCTTATTGTCCCCCTTCAGCCAACGCCCAAGTGCCTTCCGCCGTGGAGTGCTAAGAAGCTCTGAGCCGAGGTCATTTTTCCAACCCAGACTCAGAGAACCCCTTCCACCCTAAGGCTTTCTCCTCTGCCTGGGCAGGTTGAGAGCAAAGAGATACATTTGGAGGATTCAAAACCATCCAGTTGGTGAGTCAGGTCTTCAAAGCCCCAAAACTTTGGGTGAAGAGGATCCATTTATCTACCACCTACTGTACCTGGGTACCTGTGGCAAAGCTTCATTTTCCCTTCAAGGATTTCTCTTGTCTAATTCATTCACCAGGGAAGGTCTCAAAGCTCGCTTACCGTGCAAGGTCAACAGAGAGGAACTGGTCTGTGCACAGCGCCTAACAAGGTCCTGCTTTAGGAATTACTTTTTGGCCCTGGTGTAGATTTTCACAAGAATCTTACCTTCTGAGCAGCACTGGGGTTCCTCTCTTTCCCAGTCTTCAAAGTCCATTTTCACACCTGAGTTCTCCTGCAAAACAGACATCTTCAGTGTGATGAAATGACTCAGCAGGAACTTGGGATGAAGGGCAGGTCCTGAGTAGACAATAAGGAGATCGGTTATGGCAACTTCTGACCCCAGGAAACCTTGCTGGATGCCCCGAGTGCAGAACAGGCTGCTAGCCTTTCTCTCTGCTTAGAAATGTTTGCATCCAGGAAGGCTCACAGGGCTGGACCATGCTCTTCTCTGTATCACTCTTTCTTTGATTTTTGCCCCTCCAAAGCAATGTTTTCCAAACTGTGGGTCACAATGCACTAAGGGTCATGATATCATTTCTATGGATCTTGCCAACATTTTATAAAAATGAAACAAAAAGTTCAAAGTGTATTGCTCTAGTCCTGGGGCTGGCAAACTACAGCCCATAAGCCAAATCTGTCTCACCGTCTGTTTTTTAAATACAGATTTATTGGAACATAGCCATGCCCTTGTTTACATGTTGTCTATGGCTGCTCTCTGGCTGCAACAGCAGCAGAGATGAGTAATTGAAAGAGAGATCATGTGGCCAGCAAAACCTATAATGGTGACTGTCCCAACCTTTACAGAAAAAGTTTGCTGACCCCCTGCTGTAGTCTAATCTTTTCAAAGAAAGGCAGTTTCTTTGCAGCTTCTTGTCGTGGAAACTAAGCCTCCAAAGGTCCCGGAAGGCTCAGCTCCTGATGTCTTGGGGCAGGGCTAACACAGGATCCACTCACTGGAGGGCTTAGAAGAGAGATTTCTAAACACCCCCCAATCTGGCACATCACATCTCACACAGTTCACAAAAAACTTTCACCAACATTAGTTCAGGACAACACAGTGAAGGAAGTGGGGCTAGAATTGTCACTCCCACTTTACGGAAGAAAAACCTGAAAGCAAACGACTTCTCAAGAGTTGCACCACTTTTAGGGTTGCAGAGATGGGCAATTTGTGTGGAAACCCAATGCTTCGACAATGGCTTAGGAGTGAGACAAAGGGAACTATACGGTTTTTCAAAAAATAAAAACGATAAAGAAGAGCTCCAGGGTTTGGCAACAAGGACAGGGAGCAAAAGGAAAGGATGACCACTGGGCAGTTCTGGGGGGTGGGGAGACCTGATGGATCATTAAAGGGCACGAATATCTACAATTTGATTTTAAGTTGTTTGTTGTTAGACTGTTGCCCCCAAATCCGCAAAGCACAACTGCCTTTGCAGTTTGGGGGTAAATCAAAGAACGCGGAGAATGGGTGGCACTTGAGAAGGCAGAGAATTTCGCAGCCAGAGGACATTAGAACAAGAGATGTCTGGGCAGAAATGTAGGTACCCCCATGCATGAATATACTGGTGGTGCTGCTGGAGGGCAGAATAATGCCCACAGGCTGAAGGAACCTGGGAGTATCTCCGTGAGCTGCTTATAGAATTTGCCACCTATATCAAGACAAACGCAGGTGGCTTCCACAGAACTCCCTAAAGAAGCAGTGCATTCGACCATCTGAGATCTATCTCTTTCCACCTAAGAACACTCAAAATATTGGGTTTCAAAATCTCTTTCTGAAGACCAGTACTTTCTAGACTCTGAAATCAGCCTTCTCAGCCTTCAGAGAAGGTGCTAGCATTATCACGGTTTGCAGGTTTCCTAAGCTCAGTGTCTGCCTGGCCCTGTAGCAATGCCCTGCTTATTGGTGGAAGCCCTCCTAGGAGACATCGGGCTGCTGTTGGGGCTGAGAGTAGGGTGGTCTAAGCAGGTCTCAGATGTAATATCTAGAAATTCAGGAAATCCATAGAGAGGTGTGCTTCTAGTGGGGAAAAAAGCAAGGCAGGGCCCAGATGCCCCTCTGCTTCCCCATCCATGTCAGCTGGCCGCCTGAGCAGCGGACGAGAACCACCTACTTGGGCCAGGGATCCCCACAGTCTGTGGCTCTGTCTTGGGGTTCTGGAGCTCTGTTTGTCTTCTGCTCTTGGGATCTCTGATCTGGAGGGGCCAGGTCTGGTCCTCATTTTAAATAATCAGTTTGGGAGTGTATATGCAAATGTAACAGCAGCACTCCTTTAACTAATAATAAACAGCATCTTAGGTTATCAGCCATCACTTGTTGCCTGCCGTTTTCCATACCAAGGTGTGGTGTACGGAACTGTAAACAAATTCTACTGTAACCAAATTCCTGTGGGGTAGTGTCACTCCACCAAGGACTGTGCCACATCCATTCAACACATTTCAAGGCACTCGAGATAGACTGTGTGGCCACCAGTCCAGTCCGACAGCAAAGGTGTAAGAAAGAGACGTGAGTGAAAGGAAAGGGGAGACGCAGGGCTAACCTCAGGCAGTGAGCCTGGGAGGTGCAGGGACGTCCCTGTCCTCATGCTGTTCTTTACCCCCGTGCCAGAGTTCAGGCAGGAGGAGTCTCCACGTCCCAGAGAAAAATGTCCTCCTTTCATCTCTCCTTCAGGTGCACTCCAGGACGTCACTGACACCTCCCTCCACCTCTTCTTCAATGGTGACATGCCAAACACGCCCAAGGGACCTTCCTCATCAAGCCCACCAAGGACCAGCTTCTCTCTACAGTCTCTTGGCTATTTACTTTCATTTTCTTGCATTTTGCATTGCATTTGCTCTCGTCAGTTAGTCTGTGTGACTGCGCTTCACGATGCCAGGAAAAGCTGGTCAATTCACAGGAAAATCCACATAATTAAATAAGATAATAGCTTCTGGGCCACCACCACCAGCACCACAATAACACAGGGACAACAGCAACAACCATTGTAGTCAGCATGCCAGGCCTGGGCTAAGTCCACTGCTTTTTTTTTTTTATTCTTTTTTCCCCAAAATCCCCAGTAGATAGTTGTATGTCATAGCTGCACATCCTTCTAGTTGCTGTACGTGGGACGCGGCCTCAGCATGGCCGGAGAAGTGGTGCGTCGGTGCGCGCCCAGGATCCGAACCCGGGCCGCCAGCAGCGGAGTGCGTGCACCCAACCGCTAAGCCACGGGGCCGGCCCCACTGCTTTCTTTATCACACCTAATCCTTTGATGATCCTGTGGGTAGATGAATTCCTCCCTGCTTCCAGACAAAAGACGTTACAGTTGTAGAGGTTAAGCAGTGGCCCCGAGATCACCTACCTAGTTATAGGCAGCACTGGACTGTAACTCAGGCCTGTCTGAGCACATGGCAGCTCCATCTCTTATAAGTGGTTAAAGACTAAGGTCTCACCTTCTAGTCTTTTTCCACATGCACATCTACATAACATGCAAACGTAGGAGTGTGTTTGGCAAATTACTTTGTAACATGCCTCTCCTACTTAACAGTGCATCCTGCCTTTTCTACTCAATATCTGTCGAATATCATTTCATTTCATTAATACTTTTCTACACCATCATTTTTAATTGCTGTAAGGTATTTCATTATTTGTCTAAAGACCGGGAACAATGTTATTCCCTCGATAGCGGGAATAAAAGTCTCTAAGTTGTCTGCGAAATTCCTAATAAGGAGAGATCTTTGTTTGGAGAATTTCTAAATAAACCTTTGGAATGGGGATCACATGGTGAAGGAAAAGAGGAGGTAAAAATAAAATAAAGTCAAAACAGTCATTAAATTGTCCTCTCGGAAGGCAGACACTTCTGTTTGCTGAGTTCTGGAATGAGAGAGAACGTAAGTGTGGGGCGGCCCACCATTGCTCTCAGGATGGGGAAGATGGAGAAGGGTGGGGAGGTGCTGTGTCGGGGTGAGTGCAAAATAGACTTGTAGATCCTGCCCAGGAGTTCAAGACAGGGAAGGGAAATGAGAGAGAAGGGTTATCTCTACAATGAGGGCTGTTACATAGTGCGATGTGGAGTGTTCAATGTAAACCTTTGCCTTTATTGCCCCCCCTCCATAAAACCTCAGTGAATTTGATAGTCCTAACCAATACTGATGCACAAGAGGATGTTCTTGTTTACTTATTTGTTTTCTTATTTGTGGGAGGTTGAAGAAGAGGACAAGGGACAGCTAATTTGTGTGTCACATATGGAGGTACCATTATTTAACTAATCCCCAGTTTTGAACATTTGGGTTTTCATTTTTACACTATTATATACAATGTTGTGCTAAATATGCTTGGACTTAAACCTTTGCATGTATCATTGATTACTTCCCTAGGATAAATTCCTAGAAGTATAATTGCTGGGTCAAAGGATATGCACATTTTATTTTATATATTTTTTAAAATTATGCATCTTACAGTGATTTTAAGGAAACTAATTTATTAAATTATTTTTTTTTACTTATCTAAACACTCATTACAGAGGCAATCACTATACAGACTTTTTGCAGGTTGTATTTTCCTGTGTGTGTGTGTGTGTGTGTGTGTGTGTGTCTTTGGTGCATTTATGTTTTCTGTGCAGGGGGTGGGGGTATATGTTTTCTTGGAGTGTGTATTGTGCTTTTGTGTGTATGTTTTGTGTGTTGTTTTTTGTGGGTGTATATTATTGTGTGCTGTGTGTTTTATGGCTATATGTGTTTTGTGTATATGTATATGTTGTGCGTGTGTGGGTATATATGTTTTGTGTGTGTTTTGTACATATGTGTGTATGTTAAGTATGTATTGTATGTGTTGTGGATATGTGTTTTTTGGTGTGGTTTTCAGTGTGTCGTGTGTGCATGTATGTTGTATGGTGGGGGAAACCTTAGTTTCCTTTGTAACTGCATAGCACCAGACAGGGTTCAGCGTGACGTTGGGTTGATTTACACATAAGATATCCCCTACTTTAGGACAAAATGGAAAGTGCAGCAAGATTACAATACTCCATTTCAAGCCATCCTCCCGTGGTCAGGGTGCCGGACGTGCTGAGATATCTTGTAGTCGTTTTGTGAGAATTATGAAATAGGTCCACTGCACAACTGCTGACCCAGCGGCATCCAGCCATTCTCACTGCCACTATTGATCCTCCTGAAATGGTCAGACCCCAGTGAGGGATTTCGCCTGAAGGGTGTTCAAGTAGCTGCTTGGCAGAGACATGCCGGTAATTGGACAAGTGCAAACAGTCAGCACATGCCACTGGGCGTGCTCCTCATCAGAGGCTTACCTCCTGCCCCGTGGGGAAGGCCAGTGACCTGGGCACTGTGTGCGTCACCTGCTCTTCAGGTGACACAGCAGACAGGTGTGTCTCCCAGTTCACAGCCATCCTTTCTGATACCAGACTTTGGCACTTGGGACTCCCACCTTTGGTTTCTGGCAGCTCTGGAGACCTTGTTCCCTCTCCACAAGTTGGTTTCAGGAACTTGCTCCCAGTTTTTTGTTTATTATTTGTGCTTTGATGTGAGTATTAACAGAGATGATGGAAAAACTCTGAAGAGAATGTTTAAGAATTTCTCTTCCTGGGAATTCCAAGAGCACTTCATCCCCCTGGCTATGACTGCATTTTTAAAAGGCTTCATTTTGTGCTAGGGCCTTCACACTGCCCCAATATTACCCCACCCTCCGGTGGCTCGGGCCATGGCTGCCTATGTCTGTGGCATTTCTGTGGTGAAGGGGCAGCTGGTGATTGTCCCAAAGCAACATGGCATTCCAGCAAGAGCAGAACCCAAAACCTTGCCTCCCTTCGCCCCCTTCCACCTCTGGCCTCTCCTCTCCAAACTGCGGAGCCCATCCTCACCTGTCCCGGCAGCCTCCAATCTCCCCTGGAGGTTTTCATGCTCTCTCCGTTAGGTCCTGTGAATCCCCAGGAACTATCAAGGAATCCACACGTCTCTCTGCTTCTCTAACTTCCCCAGAGTTGATTTTGGGGGAAGAGCCAGCAGCTTGCACTAGTTCACCATCTTCAGTGGCTGTGTTTACTGACGGGAGGGGAGGAGACAAAGGCACAGGCCTTCCCCGCAGCAAGAATGGGATTTAGGTCCTGGGTCTGTGAAGAGATCAAGAGCAGCACAGCTCAGGGCAAGGAGAGGGAGAGAGTTGGCTGGACACGTGGGGTCCGTGTCCAGAAGCCAGAGACAGACAGGCAAGGGTCTCAGTATGAGGCCTGACATCATGCTGTGGCCTCACAGCCCAGTGGGCCTGTGGCCAGAGCTGTTCTGAGGGCCTGAGGGCCTCTGCCCCATCAAACTGGGCAGCGCCAGTTGCCCAAGTGCCTGGTGGGCCCTCTCTGACAGGACCTCCGAATTTCAATTTAAGTAAATATGCTCCAATGTTTCTTCACATACTCTCTTTTTGTGATGCTCATACCAACCCTGAGATGAAGACATCTTCAATATTCCTGTTTCGAATAGAGAAGAACCGCATTTCAGAAAAGTGATGTGCCTTGCCCAAGATCATACGGCTGGAGTCCTAGGACCTTTATGAGGCACAAACTAGACTCTCTTGAGATAGCATCCTGTGGATCCTGGGAAAATCTTGAAGGGCTCAAGCTGCCTTCTTGTCTCTGCAGGGACCTTGTGAGAGGGTGTAACAGGTGTAAGGACAGGTGACACAGTCAGACTGACAATGTGACAGAGTGACGGGTTGCTGAGTATAGAGGGTCATCAACGGAAACTTTGAAATCATGGAGGAAATTCCTAGTTTTTTGTTTATGAGGAGAAAATGAAAATTGAAGGCAAAATTATAATACATATCCAATTCTTATATTTAACATTGTTTATGGTTTTAATGTCATGGGAAACATGAATATGTCTTATGTCACAGTTTGCTTTACAAAATTATGATGTTTGTTCTTTAAATTAGGAAGTATTCTCTGGCCTTCCAGCCAATGGGAGCTCGAGTTTAATTTTCGTTGTTGCCACCTCTTAAACTCCATTGTATTGTCTGTTCCTGCCCTGTCTGCTGTCTTCCTCATCTGTCAGAGCTTGGAAGCAGAGTGGGGACAAGGAACAAGACACCATAATTTCTGGATTGAGACTTCTGGTCCCGTGACTGAGTTTTTATACAGGAGCAGGGAGAGTATTAGCATTTAAATTAAAGGGACAACGCCCCAGAGCAAATGCTATAAAATAAAAAGAGGGACGGCAAAGGAGCCAATAGAGGAAATAAAATAGAACACTAACAAATATTTGACTAACTCAAACGCAAACAGAAAAGAGCAATGGAAGAAAATGGAAGAGACAACTGGAAAACAAACGGCAAAGTGGTAGGCGAAAGCCAACCTCATTGTTAATTACACTGTGTTCATAACGTCCCAAACCAGATAAGCACAATGTGGCATATCCATACAATGGAATGTTAGTCATAAAAAGGAATAAAGCACTGATATACGCTACAGCATGGATGAATTGTAAAAACATTATGCTGAGTGAAAGACGCCAGACACAAAAGACTGCATACTGTACAAGTCCATTTATATGAAAATTCAGAACAAGTGAAACTAATCTATACTCATGGACATCAGATCAGTGGTTTCTGGAGTGGGGGAGGGGGAGACTGATTGTAAAGGGGCAGGAGGGAACTTTCTGGGGAGACGAAAATGCTCTACATTTTGATGGGACTTTGGGTACAATGAACTTATATATTTGTCAAAATGCATC